TCAATTCGTTAGAGCACTTTTTCTCAATAAGCAATTATCAAGGTAAATTCATGTTATAGTATTCCACAAAATTCTAAATTCGTGTTTTGGATAAAGATATATGTATGCTGGTCCTAATATGTTGTGTGTTGCGATGGAACGGGTTTAGCTGGTTCGAACTGTGCATCGCATTAGTAAAAAGGAGGAATTAATTAAGCAGCTTAAGAATTTTATCAATGTTATTGTTCTTTTTATAAAACTGATTTTAAAGTTTTGAATTTTTTTTTTTTTGTTTTTTTTTTTTTATTTAAGTATTTTTTTAAAAAAAAAAAAACAAAAAAAAAAAAAATTCAAACGAGTCCTTAATATTTTATTGCAGTTGACGATAAACGGTCGCCCGTGCTGACTCAAAATCTGGGATTCGCCACTGAATAGAGTCACAAATTTTATCTACTTATCCATCTTAATTTTCTATCCATTTATAAATTAAACGTTACAAATTCTTTAGAAATGGAGGCTAGGATTGCAGCATTAGTAATGTATTAACGAACCTCTAACAAATCAAACACTCAAAAGATCACTCTCCAAATTAAAAATAATATATGCTAAAATCAAATTGAATGCACTATTTAATTCAGTCCACTGCGTACAACATTATTTTGGTCATTTTCTATGTGAAGTACAATTTGCTAATCATTAATGTCTAATAAATGGTGGTTAAGAACCTTAAAGTGACTTATAATTTGAATGTCAATCAATATGGTTCAGTGAATTGCGGCATGTGATAATATATTAACAGCCCCACTATAAGAAATGAAGGGACACAATAAATTATAATAAGAATTGAAAAGCTTCAATTTATATTTTAATCAGTCATTAACCTGACTAGGTTCCCGGAACAATTAAGCAGTCAAATTAGTCAAACTTTACGCGGTACAATCCCTGTCAGCATTTGACTAAATTCCTGTCATTCATTGTTGTTAGTAGATTAGACGCACGTGATTAAAATAGGAAATCAAAGGTATCATTCTCCAGGAACATGGTGGAGCTTTTACCAAGTCAGAGTCATTTTTTATTTGAAAAATTCAGTTTCAGTGGAAACCGATATTCCCAGAAGGCCAAAATTATAACATATTTACAACTACTCTAAAACGAAAAGAAAACGAAAAGAAAGACCATATTGCTTGAACTTAAAAACGAGAATTGAAGAAATGCAGCAGTTTCAAATCTTAAGGGAGGTGGAAAGACTTTTCATTCATCTTAGAATTCCAGCTCAATGGCTTGAACTGGCAATTCATTCTATAGGAAAAAGTATCAAGTGACTAATAGTTCAACAAGCAAGAGCCTGATATATGTATGAAAGAAAGGAAAGACGTGTTAACAGTATTCCTTTTGTATTCCTATTTCAGAAAATAAAAAACCAGATGAAGTGGAAAAACAAACCTTTCGATGATAAAAACAGGGGGCCGCTCTTATATACCTGCACGTCAATGTAGATTATATTATTGAATAACCTTTCTATTGCAAGGTCCAAAAAAATTCCATTGAGTCTTTATGTACCATTTATTCACCTGCAATTTCAGCATTACTTTCTCTAATTTAAATTTATATGCAGAGCAGTAAGCTGAAGTCTTGAAAAACATACAATATTAACCATGCGTAAGATAAAAATCATAGTTACAACAGTTTCCAGATCAGTTTACAGTTTTTTGTTGTCTGAGCTCATATCTCTATCCTATTATCATCCAAAACTAAATTCAATTAAATTAATATTATCCCAACTCTTTGGTGTCAATTAAATTAAGTTCTAGGATCTCAACATAGGTTAGCCAAACAAAAACAAGACACTAAAATCACTGGTTTCAATTCAATTTAACTAAGCCTCGTGTAGAAATTATTAGGTCTGATATATGGATTTTCCTCTTCCACTCTAATACATTCAGTTAATCAACTTTCATTTGATTTTAGGTGAACCTTTTTCTACATTTACCATTAATTTTCGATATGCACAAGGAACCAATTCAAGGAAATGCTTTTTCTCTTAGTATCCATTTTTTCTTTACCACCGAACAATCTCTACGTTCTCACATTAGTAGCACTCAATTTAGACAGTGACAATAGAAACAGACAACCACAGGCCAGAGAAGGAAGAATATTTCCTTTGGGTAGTTAGATGCCACACGTGAATTTCTCTAGTTCCCAAGTTAACATGATTATTCATAGTTCACATTCAAACGTATTCATACTTTACATTCAAACACAGGTCAAACTATGTGAATTTATTAGTAAGCTTTTCCTATAAAAATTGCACACTAAATTCTCTAATATTATCCAAGTTATTATAGATAATATCCGCACGCATGCTAAAGCAATTATAGCAAAACATTCAAGCCCCAGAAATCATAGCCTTAAAAAATGGAAGCCATAATTTGTTTATGGGCTAATTGAATATAAAGTACCTTATTGCCTCCATGAACGGTAGGTACCTTGTTGCCTCCGTGAACGGTAGGGCCTGGCTGCCCAGAAGGTGGAGACGGCACATTACCACCACCTTCCCCCTGAAACACGACAATTGGATTCCAGTAAATTAAAAAGGAAAAAAAAATTAACTAACGTAAACACAAATTAAGTCCCAAATGTAGAATTTTTTGCGATCATCGTGTATCAATTATCAAAACTTACCAGAGAAGAGTCTGCATTCCGGTTGGTCATTGTCGGATTGCAAAGAACGAGGATTAACAGTAACCCATGGAACCTGGAAATTCCATCATTATGAATCTAAAGCAGAACATTAGTACAAATTAAAAAGGTGCGTTAATCAGAGAAAATGTAGCTACGAAATCCAATACACCTTCAATTCGATCTGCGGGCATAAATACAATAGATGGATTAAATTTGGAAGGAAAACAAAGGAGAATGAATAATAATAACAATGGGAATGAAAAAAGTGGAAATGTGCGTGTTGTGGGTGGGTGTGAGAGAGAGAGAAAACCAAGGGTCAAGCAACAAGCGCATAACTCTCAAAAAGAGGAGAAGAGCGGGTTCTTTGCCTTTTCATCACATTCTTTTCCTTACACGTGGATTTTGCACTGGACCTGTTCTATGGGTGCTCTTTTCATCATCTCATCTCATCTCATCTCATCTCATCTCATCATATCATGTACATAAAGGAGAGGCATTCGTGTCCGGACACTTCTGATACAATGATCACAGTAATTAGGACTGTAGGTATACACTTGTATATAATTCGCAATACTCCTTGAACGATTCAGTACACAGTGTATGCATCGTTAAAAATTGTGATTGATAAAAATTCAATGGGATAGGAAAAAAATATATATTGAAAACAATCTTTGTTTGACATTAATCAATATGGTAGTCTATTGAAAACAACCTTTGTTGTAGCTTTATTGAAGTCTCGTATACAATTTATGACATGAAATACTAAAATCATGAAATTATATATTGTGTAAATGTCATGTACGTAATGTACATTCATTTTACAAAGAACGTGTAATTCTAAAAAATATTACTACTTGTACATAAGGAGCTACATCATAATTTACATACAGATGATATGTCAAAAGGAATGGGAAGGTTTTTTTTTTATTTGGTCAAAATTCTAACTCAATCATATTTCATCACATCATGTTTATGTAAACTATTATTTATATGTAGCACAATGGATCTTTAAAATTGTTATAAATTGAACCGAATTTGAAACCACTTTATTAAAAGCAAACAATTCCTATACTAGCTTGTTGCGAGATGATAAAAGATTAAGCAATGTATGAACTATTGATCACCAGAATACAAGAAGAAATTAATTTGCAGGAGATATGGACTTTATTATAATATGGAGAAAGAGAACAAAATTTATGTGTTTACAATGTTTCTAACTTATAATGAGGTTAAACGACCTAACCAAACTGTAGAAAAAAGCCACACACACTCACATAAAATAATTCAAACCCTGGAAGCAAAGTTGTAAATGAAATAGAATGCCCAAAAGTTTCCAAATCTTGATATATTTTAGTGCAACACACATTCTAACTCCCAAAAAGGCTCTCATTAGAATTTCAACTAGAATTTGTCAAATAGACTTCGAATAGGATTCCAAAAATATTCAAAATAGAATTCTTCTTAATGTGCACCTTAATTAGAACACCCAATTGTCTTCAACAAAGAATTCGGGTAACACCCGAATTCTAACAATATCCACCTTGACACGAATTTCACTGCAATAAATAAAATTTAAAAAAATCTCCACATGGAAACAAATTTCACTATAAAGAATAAACTTGAACTCTTCCGCGAAAAATACAAACAAACTTCTCCATCAACAATTTCAATTAGAAATATTCTCCATCTTTGCTACCCCCAATTAGGCCAAAAGTGATCTAATGACCACCAAACAGGACTGACGTAAGTCTTGTAACAGAATTACAACTGAATATATCAAAAGAAAGATCTTGGCTAGAATCAACATCCTTAATTGCATTCAAAACATTAACAAAATCAGCAAAATTATACATATATGGAATTTTATGGCAAAAATGAATCTATGTCTAGCAAAGTGAATACAATGACAACGTCGATAATGGTGGTTAGACGGATTTACCTATATCTTCAAAATTTAACAGAGATGCATTCTTAAACGAAGAGTCCAAATTAGATCTAATAGTACAGAAGCTAACTCTAAATCCACATGAGTTCTTAAAATGTGTTGATTATTCAAAGAGTCTGTATAAGACTGCAAGACATATAACAAAACATAGGCTTCTTTATGAGCCTTCTGAACTCCACCTTCAATAGTGTATCTATACCCTTTTGAATCAAGAATACTTAGGGAAATAAGATTTCTCTTTAGGTCTGAAACGTATCACATTGCATCAAGTGCTCTAACCATCCCATCAAACATCTTTTTTTCTAACTCGATCAATAAAAACTATTCGAAAAGGTATATAATTATTGGTCATCACAACACCTTTGTAACTTCTTTATACGGTGAAAACAATTCCCAATTACAACATATGAAAAGTGCAAGCTGTATCCAAAATCCAAGCCTCGTCAGAATTGGAGTTGTTGCCAGATATAAGTAAAATCTCTCCATCACTATGAAAAGTTTCAACAATGGCTACAGCTAGGTTATATAATTGCTTTTCTTTTTGAAAAGTTGCAGCCAAATTTTTTCTATTGTGCAACTTATAGAAATTTTGAAGTTAAACCTTAATTTGCCTCTTCCACAACCACCATCAAGAACAAGCCCATCTCCATGAACCTCAACAATGTGCTTCATCATCTCCTTTGAAAATAGAGTATCATAGACTTCTTCAATAGTGAGATCATGACTATATAAGATCGTGTCTTTAAACAATAAATATGAAGCGGGCAAAAAACACAACAAAATTAATCTCATATAAGTGAGCACTACTTGCCTCCTAATCTATCATAATAAAAATCTTGTACTGTGATTCAATAGTTTCCATTACAAAAAATCAAGTTGAGCTATTAACTTGATCAAAATCTCAATCTTCCCAAGAATTTTAAAATCAAAAGCTTTGATACCACTTGTTACGAATCAGATCAGAATTGAAAACCACCTTATTGAAAGTAAAATAGTTCTAATACTAGTTTGTTCCGAAAAGATAAGAGATTAAACAATATATGAAGTAATTGATCATAAGAATACAAGAATAAAATAATTTGCAGAAGATGAAGAATTGATTATAATATGGAGAAAGAGAACAAAGATTATGTGTTTACAATATTTCTAACTTATAATGAGGTTAAGCAACTTAACTAGATTGTAGAGAAGAGTCAAATATATATAGGTGACAATTCAAATCTTAGAAATAGAGTTGTAGATGAAATAGAATGCCCAAAAATTTCCTTATCTTGATCTCTTTTAGTCCTACACAAATTTCAACTCTCAATAGGGTTTTCAAATAGAGCTTTAACTAAAATTTGTCAAATAGACTTTGATATGATTCAAAAGCATTCAAAATAGAATTATTCTTAATTGCACTTTAATTGAAAATCTCAATTGTCTTCAACAAAGAATTTGGGTCACACCCAAATTCTAGCAAAAACATTATTACACAAAATCATGTGGGAAAATTTAAATGAAGAAAAAATGAGTACATTATTCCTTTGAATACACTATACAAATTGTCTCATTAAAAACCTTATCAAAAAACTCAATGGGACAAAATTTAATCAAGAAAAAAGAGTATAACGTGTATTTACTCCACCTCGCTATATCACTTATATTATATGCTTTAGAATATTAATCCTTCAAGGATAATATTAGTAGTCTTGTTAGATGAGTTGGTTATAACCAAATTTATATATGTATATCAAATTTCATATATTATTAGGATAATATAGACTTGTAATTGCACGATCACAGAATAATTTATCTACCCTATACAAGTATTTTCAAAATTCATTGTATTAAGAGTCGTGGATTACATATTAAGACTTTATTTTTCTCGTTTCCTTTTTTTTACAAGTATGCATCTTTAGAAAGTTCAGTTTTTGTAGGACTGCATCATTTTATTTGGTTAATTATTTATACGTTGGTATTCTTTCATGGTTTTACTTCAGTTTTCTCTCTATAATTCACAAGGAGCACTTAATTATGCAAAAAGTATTGTTAATATCCTTTTTCTTTTCGATTTCCTTTCTTTCTCCATAACGACATGATTATAAAATATCTTGCATTAGGGTTTAAAATATTTTATAACGGTACATACTAAACATGAATTCTCGACATTATTTAAGATTCATTTTAGTGGATTGTGGTTGAGTGACAGTACATATATTGCACTATGAAAAAAAATATTTAGATGGAAAATATTAGGCTTCTGACCATAAGCCAATTGAAAGAATTATGATGCTGACAAGATGTATACCAATGACACTATATGTTGAAAATTGCATTTTATAAGCAAAATTGAAAATATATGTTCTCAATAGTATGATTCATGATAAATTTAAGGTTCTTAAGGAACAAAAACATATTTTTCCAAAGTTTTAACCTGGTATTCATTCAAAAATATTGTTTTTAATACAGAATCATGCTTCTTGAGAAGCGACAATATAATATTCTTTTGAAATATTGATATCTACTAAATTATGACTATTGACAAGCAATAGAACAACATTCTTTTGAAATATTGATACATTTATATTATCTGAATAACATACAAGAAATATACATGTAATCAAATCAAATAACTCATATCAGGTTTGTCTGTATGTAATTTGAAGTTGAAGAACGCAACCTTTTCTTTGGGGCCTAAATACAAGACTACTTTGCAAATTCAATTTGCTAGAATCTTGTGTTGATAACATATTATAAACTTGAGAATAACTAGATGTATGCGTATTTCATTGAAAATCAAAACTCTATATTTATAATAAGAATTAAGGCTTCATGGATACTATGGTCATAGTAATTGGGCCTATAGGGATACAATGATCATTGCTAATTAGTATATAATTTATAATAAATTTGACATTAAACGTGAATTTTAACATGTTTTATTGAAAATATTATCTTTATGATTTGGGGGGAGACAGCTTTTGAGATAAATTTATAAGCTTTCAAGAGAAAATCTATTTGATACACAACTTTTAAAGTAAATTTTGAAATCAAGAGAAAATTCATTTCAAGAAAAAGTTGCGAGTATGCTAGATAGTTCTAATTGTCTTGGAAGACATTTCTAGTTATTTCACAAGATGAAAGACATTTCTAACTATCTTGAAAGAAAGTTCGACTAATCAAGACTAAGTTGTAGACAATTGAAATATCTCGAGTAGTCAATATTAAACATTAGAAATCGTCATGATTAATAGAATTGTCTCTCAATATTGTTTAAACTGTCCTTCTTATCACCCCACTGTCTCTTGAAAGTTTTCATATTTAGCACAAAAGTTGTCCACCTACCAACTCGTGGTTAGGTTGTATGGGAAATTATAAAAGATAGACTATTTTCGATAGTTTCACTTTAAAGTGGTCATTCACTTAAAAGGACATCTCGAAGTAACCATTGAGTGGTATTTCCTTATATAAAATGGGAATCAGAATTAGTGTCCGCACTTATTTTCCTCACCTTTACTGACTATTCATCCATATATTTTAAGAGCATCTTCAATGAATTCTATGTATTGCTAATTAGGTGACACAAAAGTTAAATATTTTCAATGTATATGACATTAATTTATAATATATTAAATGTTACATCAAGTGA